GCGTGGAGGACAGGAAGGTGGGTGGGGAGGCGGTTATTGCTTGGAGGGAGAGTCCCCCTCTCTACAGGAAGCCATGACCACGTGTCACGGGAGGGAAAATGGCCACGGATCCTGTTCGTCACCCGATCCGGTGTTCGTGAATGGAAGCAAAATTTTGCGAATGGAGCTGTTCGTGACCTGAATTGGTTGTGAACAGAAGCGTTCGTGACCCGAGGTACCGCTGTATATTTGGACTATAATGAACTATATAGATTACTAAACATAATGTACTATAAAATTAAATTTGTGAAACAGTAAAAAATTAACAATGGAGCAATGGCCATATTAATTTGTCAGCAATATCATGAATGATCAAATGACAGGGCAATGAAGAATTTTTGTGCAGTTGACATACATTTTGGAGGGAGAAGGATATTCCAGAAAATGGGTGTTGTAGAGGCTACTTCCTGGTTGATACATGTGAAGATCTAAAGGAGGAGCTGGTTGTGTAGTGCCTCTAAGAGCCATGTTACCCAGAACACTCCCAGATGGCATCCATTACTTCCAAAATAAAAGAACATCCAATTTTTTAAAAAACCGGCCCACTTTCCCCAGGATCACTCGATCTTGTGAGATTTCATCAATATTTAAAAATAATTTTAATTTGTTTTGGCACATGCATCATTATACAAGAGCATGCAATGGTATTCAGTCCTTGAAATGTTGGCAGCCATATTAGAAGTTATGATACAACCAGAAAGCCTCTAATATATGAGAAGGTGTTCCTTCAGATTTCCTAGACTTACTTTTTTAGATTAACATCAACATACAGGTAGTCCTCATTTAACAACTGTTTGTTTAATGACAGTTCAAAGTTATGATGGCCTTGGAAAAAGTGCTTTATGACCTGTACTCATACTTATGACCATTGCAAACCATTATGCACCCCCCTGTGGTCACGTGATCTCAATTTGCAACCTGTTTTACGATGGTTAAGCAAATCACCGCAGTAGTTAATCAAATCACATGGTTAAGTGAATTCTGGCAAAAAAATCCATTGGGGAAGTTGGATTCGCTTAACAACCATGTGATTTTTTTCACGACTGTTGTAAAAATGGTCATAAAATTGGGTCTGGTCATGTGGTGACTCACTTAATGACCACACCACTTAACCAATTTTCCAGTCTCTGTTGTGGCTGCTAAGTGAGGACTACCTGTAAAATTGGTAGCTAATGCAGTTTTTTCACTAATAATGTTATGTGGCAGTGACTAGATAAACCATGGAGGAGCCTTGCAGCTACATGGCATACTATCCATAGCTTTCAGATGATTCTATCTGGTCCATTCTACCAGGTGTTAAACACGCATGGTGAACAGAGATTGAGAGCTATATAATCAGCCATATTGTTTCAAACATCTTGTCCACATCCTTAGCCTACAACCCCCGATCCCTCAAAATTGGAACATACTGTTAATTGGATGTCCCACTTGAATCTGAAATTTGGCATCCAAGTTGTTTCACTCATGAAACTTATCACAGCAGGCTCAGGCATTTCCTGGATAGATGTTAATGGTCTAGGCACCCAAAATAGTTTTACTATATGAGTACTTGATGATGCAGTGGAGGAAGCAAAATATTCTGCCCTACTGGTCTAACACATAATCAAATGCTCTCATACATGGTCAGTTTCCTTAATGGTGACTTCTCAACCATATATTCTCCAGCCATTGCTCAGCGTGTTTTATCACCTGCTGTTTTGCTGCATATTACAATGCCTTATGGTCTCTGTTAGCTTAGAAAGGGCACTTAGGAGAGAATGTGTCAATGGCTTGTCTAATTTCACAGTTCTGCAGCACAACCAAGGCCTCAACAGGATCACCTATAATAGCTATGGAAAATCTCCCAGTCCGTCTCAGAAATGCATTGGTTTCCATAAATCTTTCCATAAATAATGGGTAAACTATTCTAAGTGATCCCTTACTTCTGCAGGGGGAGAATGTTGCTGTAAATTCTCCCCCAGCAGAGAATTTATAAAATCCATCATTATCATGGCACCTTCCCTTTCCCATCCCTTCAGCCCCTGTTGATACTAAGTAGAGTACCAGGGCGGGAAGAACTAGGTAAGATCATTCCTTCTCAGTTCCCCAAATTAAGTCTTAGTGAGCCCAAGTTGCCAGAGTTGATGGGAGGGCTAGAAAACTGCCAGCCTGCAATTAGCTCTTTCTCAAATTACCCATTTTCCCATGAAAGTCATATCTCTGTCGGCCTATGATTTCTGCTGTAGAACTCTCTCTATACTTCTCTGATCTACCAAGATACATGATGATTCCCAAGAACAATGCTGTGCCTGTTATAACAAAACTTTATTAGAATCATAGATGCGAATTCAAATTAAACTAATACATGTTAAATAGGTATAAAATTAATATATATTTTTATACAATTTATCATTGTCAATATCAGGGGTAAGTCCTTATCCAGTAGAACTAGCGTTCATACAGCACACTCATATTGCTAAAAAATAAAAATTTGCAACTAGGTAGCAAACTTTAGAATTTTTAACTGCTAAAAAAATTATATAACTTTAATCTGTCTGGCCAGGCATTTTTTAAAATAAAGACTAAAGTTGCCAGAATGCAAACCTAAATAAAATTCATATCATAAGAAGACATGGTCTAAGGGCTCAGTTTCCCCTGATGCATATGGACATATTGAACTTATCTCCAGAACTGCTAAGGGGAAAGATTGAAACAGGCTCTAGAGAAGGCCCACTATAATTTAGAATAAGGGAGAGAATATAAATATATTTCTGGAAAGAGCTCTGAATTCCTGTAGTTGTTACAAGGTAGATATTACTAAGTCAAAAATACTGGATTATTTTTTTCTTCATTTTTAATAGTTTACCAGTCAGCCATAGACACATCCTAGTTATATCTATAACTCTGTATCTAGTTTCTCACTCTAGTTATATCCATCGTTTCATTCTCTCTTCTTACCTAGAGAAACACGTATATAGCAGTCCCGTTCCTAAAGTACTTAGTTCTCAGCTTTTACTTAAGGACTTGTTAATCCTGGCTATAGGAACAATACCATGCTAAAAAGAGTGTTTTAGATTTGCTTTTTAAGTTATTCGAACAGTTTCACTGAAATTTTGTTGATTTTTCTGCATTCAGGCTCAGGGTGTAGGAAATGCTGGTGCTGAAAATGCTGTACTTGATCAGCCTGTGGACCAGCCTGCTGAAAATGTAGTTGTAGGTGAAAATCCAGAAATTCTAGAAGAACAGCCAGATGATGAAGAAGAAGACAATGAAGATGAAGAAGATGTTGTAGTTGAAGATGCAGCAGATGCAAACAATGGAGGACAAGGTATACTGATTGCTTTTTAATAACTATACCTGTGCTATTTTCTAGGATATATTTTGACCCATTTTATTTCAAAGGTTACTTTCTAGAAAAAGAATTCAATTTACTCTGGTTTCTCTTCAAATGATATAATATTAGTAAATACTTAATTATACTTTAAAAGCTTCAAGTAGCCCTGGATTTTTTTGTATTTTTGCATTTTTGATAGCCTCTTAGGTAACCTGGAGTCAAGTCATATAAGACTTGCTAGGTCAAAAATAGCACTTTTAAATTGGACTTGAAAGCTGTTGATAACCAATGCAGCTACTGAAGAATTGGTGTAATACTTACAGAGTGGCTGTCACCCAGTAGCAGCTTGGCAACCTTATGTACCGACTATAGCTTCTGAATTTATAGTCCTTTGTAGACCATAATGCAATAATTTACACAAGCGATTATGACAGTATGAGTCATTGTTGACAGAGCATCCTGGTCCAATTTTAGCTGGGCAAAGCTTCCAACCAGGGTTTCCACTTCCTTTAGTGGGAGCACAGATCACTTCCTTTATTACTAGAGCATCTCTGTCCAGAGCTAACACTGGAATGTTCACAGACCAGAATTTTTCTGGATAAACAGTAACTGTCTTTCTGAGATTAAATCTTAAATTTGTTTCTACCCATGCAGAACCTCACATCTTCCAGACACCAAATTCTTGCCTGGGCTGTGGTAGAATCCATCTGCTCAGTTGCTCCTCATTTATAACCACTGAGTGGAACCACCACCAGACTGACTCTGAGCCCTTGTAGGTGGTCCAGTAGTGTATCATGTCAGTGATACTGAAGGATGTGGAATAATCTAATAGGAATAAGAGGGGGACACTCCCATCCTCTAGGTCCCAACATGGGTCACAAGAGGGATCAGTGCTGCTTCTGTTCCATACTCAGGCTTGAATCCAGTCTGAAAAGGATCCAGATAATCCACATCATCAACAGTCCTCTGCAGCTGAAACAGTACAACATTCTCAACAGCTTTCTCCTAAAAGGGATGGTTGGAAATAGGATGATAATTCTCCAACAGGGCTGGAAAGGGATAACTTCTTCAAGAGAGAGTGCTTTTTCAAGGCAGGTGACATTATACCCTCTGCCCAAGAAGAGAGAGCCCAGCCTCTTGGTTCTAGTCACTCACACACCCCTTTCCTGCCTAGAGGAGCTAGGAGGGGTATGGGCCCAGATCACACATACAGTGGGGCAAAAAAGTATTTAGTCAGCCACCAATTGTGCAAGTTCTCCCACTTAAAAAGATGAGAGAGGCCTGTAATTTTCATCATAGGTATACCTCAACTATGAGAGAC